TATATATACTACGGGAATCTGTTCAGCCGCCCCTACAAATGGACACGGCAGGGGCGGCTGCTAATACCAGCCGCCCTTGCAAATCGACTTATTTGTAGGGGCGGCTCGTATTACCAGCCGCCCCTACTGTGCCATTTATAGGGGCGGCTGCTGTGCTGGAGCCCGAGTACGTCAATGTAGGGGGCGGCTCTAATGCCAGCCACCCCTAAAAAAGCCCCGTTGCTACAAACTATTTTTCACGTAGTGTACATGCATGTAAATAAATGTAATATATATATATATATATATATATATATATATATATGGTCAATCGTCACGTACCGGCCGGTGGTGGGGAGTGGGACAACGGCGCCATCAGCAGGCACACCACAGTGGTCGGCACTTTGGGCGTTGTTGGCGTTTGGCATGTCGCTTTGCAACTTGCCGTGGGCTGTGGCAGTGAGGCCACCGTTGGTCCGTTACACTCACACAACCAGCGTTGCTGGGCGCACAGTTCATCGTCCCCACATTCCTACGAACTGAACACTGTGTGCTTCTCAAGGAAATTGTTTTAGCTCTGACAAAACAACTCTTGCCTAGCTAATACTCTTCAATATATGAAGTATGCATGTTCAGATACTTTAGTTTCTGTTTCCTCGTCGCTCAAACAATATTGGCATGTGCTCCTACAATGCCCAAAATGCTCTGTGTGCAAGACAACCATACATATGTGCTTCTATATTAATTGATTTTGTCCTTATCTAATATTTTGAGTCAATGTACAACCCTGTTAAACATCATGAATATTTATCTGCAATACTGCCTTTGTGTAATGACAATCACCATAAAGAAGTTACTACTGTTTTCTTTGTTAGTAATTTTCATAGCAGGAGGGTGTCATATGCATACAATGTATACGCGGTAATTGATCCCAGATATCAACATTAGGCTAAGACTGTCTTCAACAATACCACCCAAACGCAAAATAGGTGATGCACAGTGTTTTGGGTAGCCAGAAACGAGCTCCAACGGAACACCCAAACAAAGGACGCATTTTGCGTACCAGCCAAATCGAGAGGCAAATAAGCGTCTCGCGAGGGAGACGACGCAAATGTCCAGCGCCGTTGTGGTGGGTCCGCGGCGAGGAGCCGCCGGCGCTTCCAGGCGGGTCCGCGGCGGACGCGGCCGGCGCGGCCAGGCAGGGCTGCTGCGGGGAGCCGCTGGCGCAGCGAGGAGCAGCCGGATGCGTGGCGGCGGCCTGAGCGGCCTTGTTCCCCGCGAGCAGGTCGGAGGAGACGGCGACAAGGGCCACGGCGGCGAGCTCCCGTGGGCAGCCCACCATGGGCGTCACGGGTGTTGCCGTTGGGGAGGAGGGCGACAGTATCCGATGGCACGCTGGAGGGCGAGAAAGGCCGTGCCGTGGACCTGACACCGCTGGCGGTCGAGGTCATCGCCGAGAGCTTCGGGGAGTGGTTGCGCGAGGAGATCCGGCTCCAGGGCGAGTTGCAGGAGCCCCAGCAGCTGCGGGTTTCCGTCGGCCGCGACCCTCGGCTGTCGGGCCCGCGGCTCGGCGCGGTGCTCTTCGCGTGGCTCGCCAGGGCCGGCTGCTCCGTCTTCGACATGGGGCTCGCCACCACGCAGGCGCCGGAGGTGTGAGGCGCCACAAACTTGGAGATGGGTGGGCGGTGGACAGACCGAGGAAGAAGAGGGCTGATTTGCGTGGCCTGTTGGAGAATCTAAATTTTAGGTACGGGAGCCTTTCTACTGTATATGACCTAAATTAGAGAATGAGTGTTGTATTTATGTCTTATTGTTGGAGACAGTCTAAGATGACTGAGCTGTGATCTATTATCCTACATGTACGTAACATACAGGGAATCTATGATCATAACCGCTATAGTCGTTCAAAAACAACTCACCATGTTTTCCTTTTACTAAATTACATGTTTCACATTCATTTTAATACCCTTTATTAGATTGTTATGAGCAAGGCGCACACATTTTATCGTTGTTACCTTTTTTAGTTACTCTTACTGTATATGATGTGCAATGGTACTTCTATAGCTGACGACCTAACGCCTATACTTAGCCTAAACCTATCATCAGTCTATTCAACTCCACTCTTCGGGTCTATACTTAGCTTTTGATTAAGAGCTAGCTTTTCTCTCTCTTCTATTAAAATATAAGAAAAATACTTAAAGCTGCCATTATAACAAAAAGCTAGGTCACACACACAAACAGTGACTTCGTGCAAACCAATTGCATGACCAACTAAAGCAGGACCTACATCGATCATCTGGTTTCATGGTTGGACAGCCCAAAGTGCCTTTTTAAATTAATTGCGAGGCGTCAAAAATCTAATCATGGGATTTGTGTCTGCAGTGTAAGTCATTGATTACTCACATCTGGCGACCTGAGTCCTCCCGTATACATCAACGTCTAATTTTATTGGCTACTCTCTTTTTTAACATAAATGGCAGGAGCTCTGCCTTTCAATTAAAAAAAAAGAGTTTTAAGATACAACGGCTCATAGGCCGTGAACCCGCAATGTAGTCAAGGATTGGCTCTGCCACCTGACAGCCCTTACACCATGATTGCAATTACACTACCTTAGGTGATCACCCGAAAAACCCTTCTATACACCTCTAGATTTTCTTTAATGCGGGTTGCTACTTCGTGAGCTGTTAAGAACTTTGATCGAAAATTCTTCGATTTCGTTCCTTCCAAATATTCCACATGATGTAGATAATCAATCCATTGAAGTGTCGTCTTTTATCCTTTGGTACGGATCTTGTCGCCTTCTCCCACCATTTACCAATATTATCAAATTGCACCGGGTGAGCAGCTTGAAGAATATTGAAATTCTCCCAAGTTAAGATTTGGTTCCACACCACTTGAGCATATGGGCAGGTTAGGCAAAGGTGTAAGCCGGTTTCCAATGGCCCGCTGCAGAGAGCACACGAGTTCTGGTGTGGCCATCCTCTGAGTGCTAGGTTGTCTGAGGTAAGGATCTTGTTCTGTATTAGTATCCAAGCAAACAATTTGCATTTGTTCTCGGTATGTGCTTGCCATATTAGTTTGGTTTGATGCCGATTGTATGTCCCAATAAATTGAGCTCGATAGGCTGATCGAGCAGAGTACTTTCCATCAGCTGTCCATTTCCACTTGATTTGGTCCTCCCTCTCAGGTTGTAGATGCACAAGTTGAATCATAATCTATAGAGAGACAAATTGCTCCACATGTGTGGCGGTTGTTATTTTGCGGTGAAGCATTTTGATCCAAGCGCTATTATTCAATTCTTGCTCGACCGTCTTATTTTTTCTTTTGACCAAATCAAAGAGATGGGGTGCAAGGTTTCGTGGGGCCTCGCCATCAAGCCAGCTATGATGCCAGAACTTTGTCTTCTTTCCATTGCCAATGGAAACAGTAGTGGAGGCGTTGAAGAAAAATCTGTCCACTTCATTGCATGGGACGTATGTACCAGACCATGGCTTATGATCATCAGACCATTCTTGCCAAAGCCATCGCACGCGCAGAGCTCTGCCGAATTTGTCTAGGTCGGTCACTCTTAGACCGCCCATGTCCTTGGGCTTGCTCACAGTTGGCCAGTTCACCATGCAGTGACCACCGTTGGCATTATCATCGCCTTTCCAAAGGAATGAACGACGAATTTTGTCAATTTGTTTCCTTGTCCAGACTGCTAGCGGGAAGATAGTTAAATGGTAAGTCGGCATGGAGGAGAGCACTGATTGGACCAAAGTAAGTCTCCCCGTGCGGTTGAGAAGCCGTCCTTTCCATCTTGGAAGACGATTGCCAATCTTTTCAATGAGGTGTTGCACGTCCACTTTTTGCAGGGAGCGAGTGTGAAGCTGTAGACCAAAGTAGCGGCACGAGAAGGTATTATAGGCACCGAGAACGGTTCAAGTACTTGATCCAGATCAATGTTTTCATAGTGAATTGGGTGGATTGAACTTTTTTCCAAGTTTGTGATACCCGTGACTTCGCCAAACATTTGGAGCATGTCCTTTACTGCTTGCAATCACTACCGGAATCCTCAAATTTGCCGAGTGTTTTTATGTTTGCCGAGTGTATTCCCTCGGGCACTCGGCGACTAAGTTTTTTGCCGAGCGCTGCGCTAAAAACACTCAGCAAAAAAAACACTCGGCAAAAGAGGGGGTTTGCTGAGTGTCAAAAAAACACTCGACAAAGAGATGGTTTGCCGAGTGTCAAAAAAACACTCGGGAAAGAAATAAAATCTTTTTTCTGGAAAAAAGAAGAAGAAAAAAAATGAAAAAACTTTGTCGAGTGCTCAGATCTAGAACACTCGGCAAAGAAATAAAATCTCGTTTTCTAAAAAAGAAAGAGAAGAAAAAAATAAAAAAAACTTTGCCGAGTGTTCATATCTAGAACACTTGGCAAAGAAATAATTTTTTTTTGGAAATAAAACACCGCCTCCCTCCAAAGGCCTCCCCTTTTTGCCCCCCCTCCCCACACACACGTGCACCTCCCTCCCGGCGCCCCCTCCCAGCTCCCTCTTCCTGCCCTCCTCGCTGGCGCACCTCCTTCCTCCCCTCCCCTCCCCTTGCCTCGCCTTGCTGGCGCCCCCTCCCCTCAAATCCCGGCCAGCGCCCCTCCCCTCCTCTCCCGGCGTCTCCTCCCCTAGCCGACGCCCCTCCCCTCCTCTCTCCCGGCGTCCCCTCCCCTCGTCGGCCCCTCCTCTCCCGGCGCCCCTCCCTCTCTCCCAGCGCCCCCTACCCTCCTCTCCCGGTGCCCCCTCCCCTCCTCTCCCAGATCCGGCGCCCCTCCCTCTCTCCCGATGGTGCCACCTCCTCCCCCCCTCTCCCGGCCCGCCGCCCCTGGATCCGGCCCTCCCTATCCTGGATCCAGCCCCTCCCTTCTTCCACGACTCGCCCGCGGCGCCCGACCTGACGCCGCAGCCCTAGGCCCCGCCGCCCCAGCATTCGCGGCCGTAGGCGACTTCCCCGGCGTCTGCGGTGCCGAGGCCGGCGAGCGGGGCGCACATGCGGAGCCTCTCCCTCGACGCCGCCTTCTTCGACGGCCTCTCGCTGCACGGAGGTGGCGGCGGAGGAGGCGGGGGCATGGCGGGGCACAAGAGGAGCGGCTCCATGGACGGGGCCACCTCGTCGTTCGAGGGCGAGTCCGCACTGTCCTCCATGCTGCCAGGCTATGTCAAGAAGGCCATGCCTGACCACAAGCTCGCCGAGCTCGCGCTCCTCGACCCCAAGCGCGCCAAGAGGTGAGCGGGCAAACGCCATCCGCGTCCGCGAGTTGTCTTCCCCTTGAAATTGTTGGCGAGATCTAGGGAGGGGGCGTGGATGGTGGTGGCTGCGTGGATGCGGCGTGGTGCAGGCGTGGATGGTGGCGACGGCGTGGATGGTGGCGGATACAGCGTGGTGCGGGCGTGGATGGTGGTGGCGGCGTGGATGGTGGTGGCAGCGGCGGTGCTCGTGGTGCGAGCGTGGTGGCGGCGTGCCATTTTTTTTATTTTTTTTGAAAAAAAGTTTGTCGAGTGTTTTTTGGGCACTCAGCAACGTCTTTGCCGAGTGCCCGACAAAAAACACTCGGCAAACTTGCGTTTGCCGTTAAAGGGTTTGCCGAGTGTAACACTCGGCAAACCCTTTGCCGAGTGTTTTTGGGGCTTCGTTGAGTGCCTCTAGTACTCGGCAAAGTTCCTGTATCCGGTAGTGAATTCCTCTTGATTTGGATTTAGGAAGATAGCAGCGTCATCGGCATAAAGAGAAGTACGTAGTTTCGTTGTAGCCAGTGGCAACAGTGTAAGGATACCGTTCTGAGTTGCGAGATCAAGCATTTTTTGCAGCGGGTCGATGGCGAGAATGAATAGCATAGGTGATAGTGGGTCACCTTGTCGCGCACCCGTTTGTGACTGAAACTACTTCCCTGACTACCATTGAGAAGAGCTCTTGAAGTGGCTGTGCCAGAAAGGATAGAAATCCATTCATGCCATCTTGGCCCAAAACCAAGAGCCTGTAGTACCTCCAGCATGTAGCTCCAATTGATGGTGTCAAAGGCCTTTTGTATGTCCAGCTTCATGAAGAGGGCTAGCATTTTCATTTTGTGAAATCTCCTCACCGTGTTTTGGATGTACAGAAAGTTGTCCTGAATGCACCGGTGTTTGATGAATGCACTCTGGCATTTGGAGACCAAGGTGTTTAGATGAGAGGAGAGTATGTTGGCTAACAATTTGGAGAAGATCTTTGCAATGCTATGAATCAAACTTATTGGTCGGTAGTCACCAACTTTTGCAGCGTCCATCTTTTTGGGAAGGAGAAAAATATTGGCTGAGTTCAGTAGATCAAATCCTTGCACATTCATGTTGTAGAGTTGATTGAAGGCTGCTGTGAGATCATGTTTGATGATCTCCCAACACTCTTTGAAGAAAAGTCCAGTGAACCCATCGAGCCTCGGTGCTTTGTCCCTCGGCATGGATTGAATGGTGAAAAGGGTGCCTCCAGTGAAGATAGGTCATGTGGTTGATAGCCGAGGGCCTCCCAGTGAAAGGTGGCCGGCCTGACGGTAGTGGTGCCAAGGTGCTTAAGGAAGTGCTTAGTAATGATTTTCTCCTTATCATCATGTGAGAAAGCTATGTCATCATCAGTTTGTAGGCAATGGATGTAATTTTTCCTCGACCTTGAATTAGCACACAGCTAGAAGAATTTCGTGTTAGCATCTCCAAACCGAATGTAAGTGAGGCGTGAGCGTTGCCGAATTCTTGCTTTCTCAATGAGGGCCAGACTAATGGATCGAACTTTGAGCCGTTTCAATAGATCGAGTTCATCTCGTGTGAGGGTTCGTTCTTCTTGGGCAGTCTCTAATTGAAGGATGATCTCCTTAACAATTGCAAGCTGAAGTCTAGTATCACCAATTTTGGATTTCTTCCAATTCTTGATGCCCTTGATGGTATGTGCCAATTTGATGTGAAGGTGTTTAAGCTGCCGCACCAAATTCACTGGCTTATTCCAAGCAGTTTGGACAGCCTCAAAAAAACCTTCCATTCGAACCCAAAATTTTTCAAATCGAAAGCGGTTGTTCGACTCCCGACTTAGCTCGCCCTAAAGTAGCAGTGGTGTGTGATCAGACATTAGCGATGGAAAGGAGTGGAGGTAGCAAGTTGGGAAAAGAAGTTCCCAATTCGGGGTGCAAAAGACCCTATCGATTCATGTTAGAGTTGGGCTGTTTTGGCCATTGCTCCAAGTGAACCAGTGGCCATTTAGTCGGATTTCTTTTAGATGAAGATCATCAATGGTTTCCTTAAAGGATCCCATTAGGCGTCGATTGAGGTTTGTGTTGTTTTTATCCGCAGCTTGGTAGATAAGATTGAAATCTCCAATAACTAGCCATCTATCATGCCCAGAGGCTGCAAGGTCCTTCAGTTCTTGGAGGAACAGAAGCTTGTCCGCATTTGTTTGAGGTCCGTAAACCACCGTAATCCACCACTCCATGTTGTCAGCTTTCATGGTGATCATGGCCATAACCGTGTTACGGGTGAGGCTCATGTTTGAGAGGGTGAAGTAATCTTTAGAGACAACAAGTAGAATTCCACCTCTTGTTTGCAGTGCCGGAAGAACTGCATAGTTGTTCAGAAATTTTGTGCCCAGGGTGCACAGTACTACTGCCCGATCGATGGCCGCTAATTTAGTTTCTTGTAAACAAACCACTGAGCTTCCAGTATCTCGCACCAGATCAAACACAGAATCACGCCGAGCACCATCATTTAGCCCCCTAACATTCTAATTGAGAATGTTGCAGTTATGCTATGACATTTGTAACCATATAGAACCCAGGAGGAGAAGGCAGCAGATTAAACTCATTTCTTAAGGTGCTGATGACACAGACATACATGAAGTTGTGGACTGTAGAACCTTGCTTTGCATACTGAAGGCCTCTGGCTGCAAGCAAGACATTAGACCAACAGAAGATGGAGGAAGTGGCAGCGACGACCCGGCGGTAGGACGATCTAAAGTAGATGGCCGTGTAGAAACTCAGTGGTTGTAGGCCCCTGGCTGCTACTAGAGGACTGCACGACCAGGCACAAAGGCGGATGCATTCGCGATGACGAATAGGGAGGGGTACAACAGTGAGGACACGTCCTCAGCACTCGAAGAAATGGTGCCATAACATAAAGTAGCAAAGTAACCCAGATACGAGGAGCGCTTAGACTGCTGCGCGCTGCATCACCGTAGAGCAGTCGAGGCCGGAGAGCTCAGCGAGAGCCTTCATCACTAGGTTGGACAGAGGACCCTTGAAAAGGTTGATGTAGCACAGCAAGGCATCTTTCGAGGACTGGACCTCCTCCTGCGTGACGCCCAGCCGCTTCATGAGCACCTGGCGAGCACGGCTGAGGGAATCTCCCCGTGGCCAGGTAAGTGCAGCTAGTCGTGCGCTCTTCCTGGTGGGCACACTGAGTTTCTTCTGAATGTTGCGAGGTGCAGCCTGTTGTTTCTGCTGCTATTGCTGTAGTAGTGGCCGCACTAGTGGCTTGGTGATGTTGCCGATGAAGAGTTAGAAGCCACTGGTGCTGCCTCCGTTTCTTCCAAGATGGTGCCGCTTGCAGCTATGGTGGGGGCAGGCTGTTAGATTGATCTCTAACCTAACTAGACCCAACGACCCAGTTGGGCCTTTGATTCGCGCCCTGATCGAAGGCGCCCAGCCCACCATGGCTGGAGGGCCCCTGTCACCCTGCGCTATATAAAGAGGTGGGGTCGGCGGCTCTTATCACGAGGTTGACCTGAGCCGACCTCCCCACCGACACTCAAACCCTAATCCGGTCAAGAGGGGCACAGCCAGTGACAGGAAGCCACCAGCCGCGCCGCCCCACTCCGACGACGGCAACTACACCGGCATCTTCCCCAACCATCGCTGCCCATGCGCAGACTGCATCGACGAACCTAATGGAGGCCACTGGATCTTCCACCCCTGTGGTCTCAGGTTCGAACCCCTATATCTCTATCTCTCTGTCTAGATGTACTAGGGCTTGTTAGGATCAACTGGTTACCTAGAAGGCCCTCGGTTCTACCCTAGATCGATCCTATGGTTATAACAATGGTACCAGAGCAGGTTGTTACCCTAGGTGTGGATCTAGATCTTGGGGTAGAAGGAGAAAGAAGTAGCACGATTTGAATTTTGATTCGGATGAAAGAAACTCTAACCCTAACCCTAGATCAGGTTCGGGAAAAGTGAAGAAAAGGAACATCCAAACCCTAGATCGGGTTTTGGGATAGAGATGAAAACATGGTTTCAACGATCTAAAGTAGATGGCCATGTAGAAACTCAGTGGTTATAGGCCCCTGGCTGCTACTAGAGGACTGCACAACCAGGCACAAAGGCGGATGCATTCGCGACGACGAATAGGGAGGGGTACAACAGTGAGGACACGTCCTCAGCACTCGAAGAAATGTTGCCATAACATAAAGTAGCAAAGTAACCCAGATACGAGTAGCGCTTAGACTGCTGCGCGCTGCATCACCGTAGAGCAGTCGAGGCCGAAGAGCTCAGTGAGAGCCTTCATCACTAGGTTGGACAGAGGTCCCTTGAAAAGGTTGATGTAGCGCAGCAAGGCATCTTTCGAGGACTGGCCCTCCTCCTGCGTGACGCCTAGCCGCTTCATGAGCACCTGGCGAGCACGGCTGAGGGAATCTCCCCGCGGCCAGGTAAGTGCAGCTAGTCGTGCGCTCTTCCTGGTGGGCACACCGAGTTTCTTCTGAATGTTGCGAGGTGCAGCCTGTTGTTTCTGCTGCTGTTGCTGTAGTAGTGGCCGCACTAGTGGCTTGGTGATGTTGCCGATGAAGAGTTAGAAGCCACTGGTGCTGCCTCCGTTTCTTCCAAGATGGTGCCGCTTGCAGCTATGGTGGGGGGCAGGCTGTTAGATTGATCTCTAACCTAACTAGACCCAACGACCCAGTTGGGCCTTTGATTCGCGCCCTGATCGAAGGCGCCCAGCCCACCATGGCTGGAGGGCCCCTGTCACCCTGCGCTATAAAAAGAGGTGGGGGTCGGCGGCTCTTATCATGAGGTTGACCTGAGCCGACCTCCCCACCGACACTCAAACCCTAATCCGATCAAGAGGGGCACAGCCAGTGACAGAAAGCCACCAGCCGCGCCGCCCCACTCCGACGACGGCAACTACACCGGCATCTTCCCCAACCATCGCTGCCCATGCGCAGACTGCATCGACGAACCTGATGGAGGCCACTGGATCTTCCACCTCTGTGGTCTCAGGTTC